TCTGAACCCTAAACTTTACTTCCGGTAGTGGAGGGGTGGCCACTGTAATTTTTTATTAATTAATAAAGCAATAGAAATGTGCTTGTTCTAATATCTTAATTTGAGAAAGTGGTCTTTTGGACACAAGCAATATAAAACACCCTTCCCTTGAGAATTTCTATGTTTATGTTGAAATTCATGCACGGAGCTTTATTACCTACAATGACCTCATCTCATTATGCTTGGAGGGGTTTCCTTTTCTTCCAACTTAATTTTCAAGTGATGTTGCGCTGCTCTGGCAGCCATAGAATTGAAACTTTTTCAATCATTTATTTGGTGTTGGTGTGATGCATGGTGGGCAAGGTTTATATATATATAGAGAGTTAAAATCTGGTGGAACATTTGCAAAAATGAATCCCAAATTCATAGTTTAATTACTAGCATAGTACCCTCTGAGTTTTATGGAAGGAGAGATGCAAGCGCATTTATGAAGGTATCGGATCCTCTTCATAGGCCTTAATTAAGCAACATATCAAGGCAATTAATGGATCATTGATCTAAACTCTGTCATGGATACACCTACACTACTGCTAGTTCAAATTCTCTTTGCCCTTGAGGTTCTCAATGTCCCCTTCAAAGCTCAAGGCATGGTTTTTAAAAACAAACCAGTCAGGGGTCCAGTTATTGGTTCAAATGGTTTGATCGTTCAATTCGAACGGCCGGTCCATTTTGACAAAAAAATAAAAGAAATTTTAAAAAAATTAAAAAATTGGAAAACAGTCAAAACCGTTCAAATGGTTTGAACAGTTAACTGGTCGGTTCAACGGTTTACTGACCAAAATCAATGATTTTGGAGGAAAACATAACCTGTCAGATGACCGGTTCCCGGTTTTTCCAGTCCGACCATCCGGTCTGGTCCAGTTCGGTTTTGAAAACAGTGCTCCAAGGAGAAGACAAGTTGGATGGATTTCTTACAAGGTTCCTACAAATCAAGAATTTAAACTAAATATTGATTAATTGATGGTGCTAATCGTGGTAACCCAGGCGATCGATCGAGAGTTGTGGGGGTGGTATAGTACAATTATTAGAAAGCTAAATAAATTATCGTAACTGTGATCAATCCCCTTATATGTTATATTGGTATAGTACAATTATTAGAAAGCTAAATAAATTATTTTCATTATATGATCCACTAAGGTGGAGTTTAGGAGTGTTTATTTGAAAAGCAAGTGCTCAAGTACTTGGTCTTTTCATGTGTTTATTTTAAAAATAATCACTTATTTTATATTGAGCTGTTGATGAGCTTTTTATCCAAATAAGTGCTTATTTATTTAAAATGACGAATTTAACACTCACTTAAGAGTACTTGCCATGGAGACTATGAAGAAAACCCCAACATTCCACGGAAGAAGAATATGCTTACTTGCCATGGAGACTGTGAAGTGAGAAGGAGGGTGGAATAGGAAGAAAACCCTATCTTCTTCAAACAAGGGCATTCTTAGGATTTTGAAAGATACACGGGGACTTTTTTTGGAACTAAAACACTTAAAAATAAGCTCAAAATTTGGGCTTCTCGAATAAGCACTTAATCTCAAGAATAACCACTTATCCAGGCTTAGTTTTCAAACGCAAATAAATGCTTATTACTTGGTCCTGGCCCAAAATAAGTGCTTAGTTTTGATTCCACAAATCCATCCCCAACTTCCTCCTCCTCTCCCCTTTTGTTCTTAGCAATATTTTGATATTTTAGTAGTTACAAAATTAGTTTATATTCCTTAGAAAAGTTTTGTACCCAGAAATTGGTTCAAGCCAGGAAAGACTTTTGACTCTAGAAAAGTTAAAAGTAACATTTCTTTACAAAGTTTAACAAAGGGATGCGATTCCAACTCCAGAGATAAGGAGAAATCGATTAAAAAGTCTCCTTATAAGGCTGGTCTCAACTCTCAGGCATAGAATCTAATCAAAATGCCTTCACCAAGCTTTTTGGAAAGTAATCTGCATATAAAATCATATTCTCATTTTTTACTAGAGTGCACTAAATGAATGGACAAGAAGAAAGATTCTTATCTTGAAGGGAAGGATGGCATTGTGGCTCAAAACCTAGGTGAACCTTAGCTCTATAATTGGGGGCCAGAGGAGAATGTCCCCCACAAACTGACTTTGTTAACTTATTGAGCATATACATCAATGCTGTCAAACTTGGATGGGATAGACACAATAAACATTATTCTTCTTCTACCATGGTCAGATGCAACCACCTCTTAATTATATATATATATAGATAGATAGATAGATAGATAGAGAGAGAGAGAGAAAGAAAAAAAGCCTAAATCCTCAACCCCTAAACCCTATGTCTTAGAATTAACATATAAAATGGCATTTGGTTAAATGGTTAGATGCTATTAATGATACATGCATTCCTCGGACCTGGATCTCCTGAAAAGCAAAAACTCTGAAAATATGGCATCTGGCCGTGCATTTGGAATATATCCTCTATTTGTATATATATTAAATTCATTGAGAGATGTTCCCAATATGAGGTTAGATGCCTGAGCTTTCAGAATATTTGCAGAGTTTTAGCTTGCAAGGCATCCAGTCTAACGGGTTAACTTTTCTTTCAAACCAAACGTGGCCTAATTAGTTCAACTGTTCGATCCATTTAGACAAAAACTAAAAAGAATAAAATTAAAACAAATAGTTTCAGATCATCTTTTAAAAAGCTATTTTGTACCCACATACGACACATGCATTTGGATAGGTTTGACCAAATAAGCATTTTTTAAAATTCCAACGACCTAAAAAGAAAAAAAACATTTTTATTATTTTTAGGCCGCAGATTCCTAATTCTACAAATTTCTACATCGTAAACACTGTTCTTTTGACAAATCAAGGACTGAACAGTAGTAATAACGTGGGTGGTGGTGACTGGTGAGTCAGTTCAACGGGGAAGAATTGTAATCTGGTAAAGCAGTCAACGGAGAACGACGGCAGAATAGGTCGTACGGACACGTGTTGGGTTATTGTGGCCATTAGTGGATATAATAACTGAGATGGTTGGTTTGAAGATTCCCCAAGTGGCACAGAGAGAACAGAAGTGGACGAATCAAGTTGCAGTCTTCTTGTGACTCGCCTTCCACTCCACCTCTCCACCATTTCCCCCACTTACTCTCCTTCTCTTCAGCCCGAAAATTAAAAGACCCCTCTTTTGAAGTTTTGATCTCCATCCCAACGGTCGTACCAAAATCCAACTTTTTCCTCGCCCACCCAACTTCCCAAATCGTCCTCTTCATTCTGCAATATCTTACTAGCTATAGCTTATCTGCACTCAGTTTTTCCTATGGTTTGTTCATTGCTGGGTACAATTATGGTGAGGACTGAGGAGTGAGGAGTGGGGAGGAGCAAGGCCAAAAACAAGCCAACAAGAACCGAACAAACCATGCCATTGTCGTCAAAGCAAACGGTGAGTTGAGATGAGCACCAGAAGACCGATTTTAATACATATCCATTCTAATTAAGTAATAAGTGGGACTTGGGTTTTACGGTACTAGTACTCAAAAACGAACCTCTTCTAATTTAATTGGCTACGTTCTCCACTTCTCCCGCCCTGCTGACACTGGCAGGATGTGTGTTTTTTTCATGGATTTTAAAACCGAATCGGAAAAATCGGGAGGTTAAATCGTTGATTTTGGTCAGTGAATCGTTGAATCGGTCGATTAATCGTTCAAACGGTTTTGACCGTTTTTCAATTTTTTTAATTTTTTAAATTTTTTGTTAGAATAGGCCGATTGTTCGGGTCAACCTGGTAACCGGACCCCTGACCGTTTCGGTCATCGGGTTGGTTTTAAAAACCATGGCCTTTCCTAAATACTTGAAAATGGGTGTAGATGGCCGAGTCTATTCATAAGTTATTTCGGTTCGGCTCGCTAAATACTCGGATAATTAATCTAGTTCGAGTTTGAGTTCAATTTGAGTCAAGTATTTGGTATTTGTTTACGTTTTTTCATTCAACGTTTGTACTTCATTTATTTGTAAAAAACCAAAAAAATATGATAATTACAATCGTTTATGACAATTAGGCACCACTAGGCACCACATCAGCGTAACGGTGAAGAAACACCTAACCGTTTGTGGAAGCTTTAAAAAATAATTTCTCCAAACGGTAGATGTGCACAAAAACCAAAGTCCACTTTTGCCATTCTCGATATGTATGGAAAAGCAAGAGAGAGGAACTACTAAAGTGGCGTATATGAGGCAGCGTTTATTGAATAAATGCCCATGGAACCAAACACCCCGTTGGTTGAACCAAGTTAGAGCTTCTCAATAATCAGCTCAAATGTCTCGTGAGCCTAATCGAACTCATAATAAAATACTACTATTTTTTAATACATTTGTACTTATAATATAAATAAACATTAATTTTTTATATTAAATATTTAATATAAATAAATACATTTATAATTGATTTTCATAATACATTTTTATTTATTTACAACTTTTTAATATATTTTTATTTTTAATATACTTACTATTAATTTATTTATATTTTTTAATACTAATTTATTTATAATTGGCCTGAGTCCGAGTTTTGAGTTCTGTGTTTTTGAGTCAAACTCGAGCTCGAACAGTCTGATACTTGGCTCAAGTTGACTCGATTACACCCGTAGGAAAAACTTGCTGTTTGGGAAAAACGGCCCAGGTTGTTTTTGAGTTTCCTGAACATGAGGGCTGAGCAAGGCAGGTGAAGTTATCAGTTTATCATCACTATCCTCTTCATTTGCCAACTTTGGTTGCAATTGGAAGAAATATCAAGGACATTTTAGGAACCTAGCATTACCTTTATTTTTTAGAGAGAACCTAGAAATCCCAAACTATGAACCACCTGAAAGTTATAGTTTTGGGGGAGATTCCAGTCGGGAATACCAATAAGGTGAACCTTGCGTGGCAGTAGAATAAAGAAAGAGTACTGCTTCTGAGGCCACTCATACAGTGTTGTCCCCACAAGGAAGAATTTTTCTTTCTACAGTAGAGTGGAGACTGGAGGGAGACCCATCGATTCCAATCTCCAATCTATCAAAAATCAGTGACCCAAGTGCTAAACCATCATTAGTACGTGATGTTTGATTGCTCTGTGCCATTAACAATATCTCACTGGGTCTATAAATTAGTGAACTCTGTTAGAGAGCCCCCACCCATGTGAAATGGAAGGAGAGAAGGGTCTTCTCGATCACACTGAACCAAGAGACACCTACAACATTTCTTACATCATTCATTTCTTCCTTGGCGCTGGAAATTTGATTCCATGGAATGCTTTAATCACAGCTGTGGATTACTTTGGTTATCTTTATCCATCCAAGCATGTTGACAAGGTGTTCTCTGTGGTTTATATGGCTTCTTCACTGCCAGTTCTGGTCTTGATGATGAGTTGGGGGAGCTGGATCAAGAGGCCAAGTTTTAGATTGAGGATGAACTTGGGATTCTCTATGTTTGTTCTCTCTCTTATGCTGGTTCCTGTGATGGACAAGGCATGTTGCAATCACGGGCCACAGAAAAGGCCTCATGGAGCCTATGGTGCGACTGTTGCAACAGTAGCAGTCTGTGGTTTAGCCGATGGATTGATAGGAGGAAGCTTGATAGGATCCAGCGGAGAGCTGCCCAAACGGTATATGCAGGCAGTGTTTGCAGGAACCGCTTCTTCAGGTATGTAGAACCATAAGTTTTTCTGAGCTCCTTTCTCACTTGGTAGCAAGAAATGGAAGTTTTTGAAGCCTAAATAAGATTAACAGCTTTCTAATAAATTCACTGGGTCAGTAACTTGAAACCAAACTATTATGATACTTGATAAGTAAGAACACTCAAGATGACTCATTGAAGAAGTAACAGAGTAGAGCTTTGCATGAAGCTAAATGAACATCTCGGTTTTCTATTTATAACTTCTAAGCAACCAAAAATGCTTTACTGGAGTATTAGGTAATTTGGTTAAGTTACATAATAGGCATCAAACATATGACACAGAGCATTTTTGTCGAGGCTCTTCCTTTCTTTACCTTGAAGAAAAAGACTCAAACCGAGTTTCAAGATCAATCAAATATTCGGGTCACTGTCTCTGAGAATTGAGTTCCACAGCAGGAACGTTTAGGGAAACTCTTTTGTAGATTGTTGGTTGGGTCAAATGAGAGGTGGGACCTCTGCAGTCTGCACTTGGTCATTCACAGGGAATGCTCAGACTAACTAAGCTTGCATGTCATAGAATTTGGGGTGGAAATGGAATTGGTTCCAGCCATATTTCTTTACCTCTGTCCGTGTTTATTGAATGAGAGGAGCAGAATCTAGAATGACTGGATTTTAAAAGGATGAACTCTATGTTTTCCTTCTCCTTTTACTTTTTTTTGGGGGGTTTGCTGGATACTGGTCATTTTTAAATCCCTCTCTTGAAAGGACTCAGAAATCCTAAGGGGAAGCAGTCATTGTCAAATCCTTCTCCTGTGGAAATTGAAAAAAAGCACAGAACTAATTTCCATTTTTTACTGCTTAATCCAAAGTCCAAACACATCTTAGCTTCTAGGGATTATAGTCTACATGCCCAAAAAGGATACTTATATTTTTCAAGACAACGTTTAAACTATCAAAACTAGAACTGCTGTTCTCAAAGCTTGGGCCAAATTCTTTCTTGGCTTTATGCTGAGCCAAGGTTGAGCCATACTTTCCCTGTTTTGTCTCCTTCTGCAGTCTGAAATAGTGAAATGTACTGCCAGTGCTACCAAAAGAAGGGATAAAAAGTATTTACAATTGCATATAAGCACACTGGGGAAAGTTTTATCTTGGACCGATGACATCAATTCACAAGTTTAAACTCTAATTCCGTGCAAGTCTTGGCTCAGCACTTACTAAATTCATCATCTGGGTACAGGTGTTCTGGTTTCCATCTTGAGAATCATAACAAAGGCATCTCTTCCCAAGACCCCACAGGGTCTACGAGCAAGCACCCACCTTTATTTTGTTGTCAGCACTCTTATTGTGCTCGGTTGTATTGTCTGCAGTAACATCTTAGAGAGGTTGCCAGTTGTGCAAACACACCGGCACAAGAGAAAAGTGGCTCCTGGATCTGAGGCTCCTGATTTTCCAGACAATCTGCAGGGCACCACAAGAAGGCTTTGTTCTGTAAATGAGTCCAGTGAACAACCAAAATTTTGGGACGTTGCGAAACAAATTCGATGGTTGGCATTTGGTATTCTTATGATTTACATTGTGACACTCTCTATTTTTCCAGGATATATATCTGAAAATGTGCAATCCAAGTTGCTTCAAGATTGGTATCCCATATTGTTGATCACAATGTACAATATTTCAGATTTAGTAGGGAAGTCCTTGACTGCAGTTTATGTTCCAAAGAGTACTGGGAAGTCGACATGGGCTTGCATTGCTAGGATTTTGTTCTATCCGCTATTTGCAGCTTGCCTCCATGGACCCAAGTGGTTGAGAACTGAGGTCCCAGTTATATTTCTGACTGGCATGCTTGGATTGACAAATGGTTACCTGACTAGTGTCCTCATGATGCTTGCTCCAAAGACAGTACCTGTTGCACAAGCAGAAACGGCTGGAGTTGTGATGGCATTGTTCTTGGAAATTGGATTAGTAGGAGGTTCTGTTCTTGGGTGGTTCTGGATAATTTAAATGTGCTGATGCATATGGCCCTACTCCTTGACGGGAATAAGTGTGGCCATGTGAGCCAATCATTTATTACTTTATTAGTCCCGACCTTCCTAGCTCCAAATTTAAAGAGGAAATCAGAAGGATTCAACAGAAAATAATAACAACGCAGAAGCCAGAACAATTTAGTCAGAGAAAATATATTTTTCATGGTCTTTAAGAAGCACCCAAACTGCAATTTAGTTATTTGCTTGTTTTCTATATCTAATCTTTCTTTGGATGGAACTGATTTATCCTTGTATTCTTGTCAGAGTTCTCAGAAATTAGCCAAAACTGAGAATGCAACAAGTTTTGACATAAAATAATCTTAAAAAGTTAATGTTTCTGTTTCTCCAATGTATAAGGTGGAACATGAACAAGGTCCGACAAATGAGAAGATCTGTCTCAGATTAAGAAATACCATGGCAATAATGTCTTCTAAGTTGGAGAAAAGGTGAATAAACTTAACCAAATGATATATCTCTTTTTTTACAATTCTTATGTCCAAAAATAATGACACCAGTATGAATGTTAGGCCACTTGATGCAAAATGCACACATTACAGGATGCATCAAGCAAGGGCGCTCTGCCCCCTGAATTTCTACATGATTGCAATACAGGCAGGTAGGGACCATTACTTGGTTTAATGGTAAAACCTTGGGCTGTCAAGCATGGGAACACGGGTTCTAGTCTGAGGGCGACTACTTTGTGGGAAAAAACGCCAAAAGTTAGGACCATACCCAGTCTACCCCTCCCAAGACCCCAGATAGCTGGGGCCAACATTGGGTAATGGCCTCATTTCAATACAGGCAGGCATTATGGTTTTATTTGCAGCCTTCTATACTGAAAGGAATATTCATTGACACTGATTAGTGCAAGCAGGAATTTGACAATGATGAGAAATAAAATAGATTCCACCACAAGAAATGAATCTTTTGTAATGGCTAGTAGTACAAAACTTGGGATTTTATGACACAATGAATATTAGCTATATGAAAGTAAATATGAAACCTCTGCAGCTAAGTTTAATTCTTTCTTGGAAGATCTGAGTTTTGATGAAGCAGCTCTTTTTTTTCACCTTTTGTCTATCTTTTTCTTTTATTTTTGTAAACAACCTCTGTTATCTTGGCCCTGATAGCCTCACAGCCGAAAGGTATGCATCACTATTGCAATCAGATGGTCCTGATGAAGTACCCTCACTTATTGACTTGAACAGACTTGAGTACAGACGGGACCCCAACTGAGAAGAAGTGGGGGGCTGAGGTACAACACAGAGACCTTCAAGCATTTGGACTACTTTAGTCATGGACGGTCTTTGGTGCATATCCTCCTGTATACACCACAAGGCAACCTTAATTGCAATATCAACTCTCTCATCCTCCTCCTCAGCTGTTAGCTTTGAGTCAAGAATTTCTTTAAGTTTCCCTTCCTCCATCATCTTGAAGGCATAGGAGGGGAAATGGGCTTTCTCTGAATTCTCTGCTGGATCAAAATTTTTCCTTCCCCCAATGATCTCAAGCAAGACCATTCCATAACTGTACACATCACTCTTCTCTGATATTGCATAGTTTGTGATCCATTCAGGTGCCAGGTAACCCCTGGTACCCCTTAATGTCGTGAAAACATGACTCTGTTCCCTGGTCATCAGCTTAGCTAAACCAAAATCAGAGACCTTTGCTATGAAATTATCATCAATAAGCACATTTTCAGGCTTTATGTCACAATGAACAATCTTTGCATCACAATCCTCATGGAGGTAAGCCAATCCTTTTGCCGTCGCTAGAGCTATATTGAACCTTGTTTCCCAATCCAATACATGTTCACCTCTATTGTTCTTGAAAATCCATCTATCCAGAGAACCTTTTGCCATGTATTCATAGGCAAGAAGCCGGTGGGTCCCCTCAGCACAAAAGCCCTTGAGCTTGACCAAATGGACATGGTGGATGCTGCCTATGATGCTAACTTCAGCTCGGAACTCTTTCTTCCCCTGACCAATGCCCTCCAGTTTCTTCACTGCTAATCGAGTCCCATCTTGTAGCATCCCTTGGTAGACTGAGCCAAACCCACCATGACCAAGTTTCACAGAGAAATTATTGGTAGCCGTTTGAAGATCCTGGTAACTGAAGCGGATCGGCATCCCTGATAAACTCTCCAGGAAATTATCCTCCTCCTCCGACTCTTGGGTAGCCTGTGGTAATGTCTTCTTTTTCCGGATGTATTGGATTCCCAGATATAGTAGGCCAACTATAATTACCACTGTTGCAACAGCAATGGCCACAACAATTTGCAAGTGTTTATGGCTGCCACTGCTTCCATCCCCAGCGGGGTTTGGCCCCTGGTTTCCATTACTTGGAGCTTTGATGAAAGAAATGTATCCACTGAAGCTCTGATCAGATGCTTGCAAACTACCTATCTGGTCAAACAAAAAACAATTCCTAGAACTAGTATCAAAGAACAAAGCAAGACAGGAGCAATTTTTAAGGCATGCAGCTTTGCAACCTTCTAGATCAGATTTGGAGATGGGGGAAACAAACTGAAGAGCAAAATAGTTGAGTCTATCCCCAACGTTTACAAGTTCCACCAAATCCTTTGAGACATCACATGAAGAGAAATTCCCAAGCTTGCAACCACGAGAGCTAAGAACAGCAGGGCACTGGCAATTGTTGTCGTTGGAACAGACGTAATAAGGATTACAAGGCTCAGGTGTGCTGCACAAATCCTGAGGTATCTTTGTCGTTGAAGGGCTTGGACCTCCGTCCTGAAGAAAGTAAAATGATATTGTCCCATAGCTATTTAGAACTGCAGCCGAGGTGCTGTTTGGATTGGCATCGATTGATGAGAAGATAAATTGAGAGAGAAGGATCTTGTTTTGATCATAGAACTTCCATGAATTGGAATTCAAAGATGCCGAACTGACTTCTCCACCATTTTTGTTGATGGTTGCTCGCCTGTCCTTTGTGAGAGACCAATAAGGTTGTGGAGTTCGGAAACCCGCATAGAGAATCAAATCTCCCGAGCTAATTTCGAGATAATAGCTCAAGTTACTGGAGCTGCTAGGGTCGCTTATGAGTTTCATTCCTTCAAGGAAATCCTGACCAGATAATAGTGTATTCGTGGGATGGCTAAAACTACTCCAAAGAGGGTTACCATCTTTCCCAAGCAAAACCAAGTTGCCTGAATTCTGCAACTCCATAGCAGTAACACCTTTATCGGCGGTATCTGTAGACCAGACCGTGCTTCCCCCACTTTCCAAATGCGCATTCCCGTCGACACCAAACACGAACATATCAGAATTTCTAACTGGTGAGCCTCGGTTGGCAGTCCAGACTACTGTTCCACTGCCCATGTGTTGGATAACCAGCAAAAACAGACTAGGATCGGCCGTAGGTGTGAAGCCGAAAGCAAAATTCGAGTTGTTGGACACAAGAAACCATCCACCGTTGTCGATAAAATTCATCTGAGACCCTTGAGAACCCAGACTCATTTGGCCAACACTCTGCAGGCTGGCGTTGGAGGTCCCAGATAAAAGAGAAAAGAATAGAAACAGGGGCCCAAGACAATAGATGCAAACCCGAGTTTCCATAGCTATAACAGGAATTATACAGGGGATAGATCAATCAAAAAGCGCAGGGGGCTGAAGAAGAAAATTGAGCACCTCTAAAGAACATAACATCACACCCCCAAAAGACCAGAAGAAAACAAATTGAAGGAGAAAGAAAAAGAGACCATGGATAAAATTTTCAGCTTTTGAAATCAAATCTTCTGTACTCTTCAAGACTCTAACCCCAATTTACAGGCCTAGAGATAGAGACGCGTAACTGACAAATTGAAAAGAAGGAACTTGTGCCTAATGAAAATGATAGAAATACTACAGGTAGTATGTCATCTGTATTCAAGAGTCAAGACAAGTCAGCATTTCTACTCAAGTTACATGAAACCCAGAGCTGAAAACGCACCTGAAGTAACACAAAACCGCCCAATTAAGCTAGAAATCAGAAAACCATGGAGCGATATGATGAGCAGTCTTCAGAAACTCCTGAATAGTGGTGAAATGACTCAATGGAAAGGAGGAATTTTCTTGCAGCCATCAGTGAAGGACAAAAGCAGAAATTAAGTACAGAAAACCAAGCATAGCTGACCTCATTCCATAAAACAGAAACGTGGATTTGCAGAGATGGGTCCTTGCTCCTTTCACTTTGAGACAGAAATAGTTGAGATAGATGACTGCTCTGCTGTTTCCCTCACCCTCAGTGGTAAAATGGCTGTAATGTATTCGATCTGTGATGGGTTAATACACTTTTAAAAATCGGCAGATTTTATTATGGGAATGGTAGATCCTGGGTGTAATGGATTTGTAGCGTTTCGCTCAGTGATGGACCCATTTCATTTTTAAATTGTATTTGGTGTTAAAATTTATGGAGGTTAGATGAAAGCCTGTTGTGGGTCATTTATTGCTGAGACCAACAGAGTCAAGGAAGGGAAAGGAAAGGGGGCTTCATATTTCGTTCATAACCAACTCACAGCCGGCGTCGGGGATTGAAAAGTGGGTCCCATTATCCCAAATCCGCTTCTCAATCGATCTTCGCGATCAGGGTGAGGCGTATGCAACCCTCACAAGTGGGACCCATTCGACGACGCGTCTAGATCTCTTAACAATCTTGCCAGTTGCCAGTCGGATCGTTTGGTGACTATGATACCGAAAAGATATGATATCCAAAAAATTTTCTGACCAATCAGTTGGAATATAAACGTGATAGTCAAGTCAATCAAAACTCTTCAGATGCCATATTTTTTTGCATCATAGATGTTATTGAGGTGGTAGTAGGAAATATTTCCTTGTATTCAATCTGTGAGGAGGCCGGATCAAATTCTCACACACACCAACCTTATAGCATATTACAACTGCAACATTTCTGGTATTTGTATATTTTTAGATCCGTGTTGCATTGTCCTCCCTATTTGATAAATATACAGTTAAAATCGACCATTTCAGCTCATCACGTGACCTTTAGAGAGAGAGAGAGAGAGAAAGAGAGAGAGGGTTGAATTGATGTGATGGCAATCAATGGTTTGTTTTCATGTAATGGATGTTATGATACTAACGAATTCCATCAATTTGAGGTTGAAAACGACTAGCCACCAATTGACCTATGAGCTTAAGATGGTCACCCGGCCGGCATCCTTTCTAAAATTCAGGTATGGGATCCAATCCACATAAAGCCTATGGATTAAGCTAGGGCTTTGTAGATTGGGTTGCCCCGAGTTATCATCCAAATTTTGACAAGAAAAACCCAACCGATCCCATCCAAATAACACTCCCTCAACAGACGAAATCTAAAATTGTTGTTGGGATGCCAAACAAGCCTTCCAACAAATCTCCCAACAACTGAACAAACCATTACAGCCTAAGGTCTTTACTGCAGGTTGGATCAACATTCTTCCATTAGCACCATTACATAGTAGTAGTTGTAATTTTATATATCTTTTTAATACATAATAATAATAATAATAATAATAATAATAATAATAATAATAATAATAATAATAATAATAATAATAATATATTCAGAAATATAAAAAATAGAGAAAATTATTAAATAAATACAACAAAAGACAAGTACAATCATATGAAAAAACTTGTAACAAATAAGGATTTATAAGAATAATATTATTCCCAACAAATTCTGATCTAGGGAAATAAATAAAGGTGATTAACGAAATAAGAATTGTAATTTGTAAAGGTAAATTATTTAATTTGGAAAAGACAAAGCCAATAATAAAACAAACAAATGAAAATTTTCAATGAAAATTTATGATAGACATCTTTCATTTTTTTTTTGTTTGATAAAACAGAAAATAACTTCTTGTATAATTTGTACATGGATTCATGACAAATAACTTAGATATAGTATCAAAATTAGTGCCTATATACCTTGAAATGCTAAAACCTATAAAGGATTAAAAAATGAAAAAAAAAAAATGTTGGGATTGAAAAAATGCAAGTCCAAGATAACTCAGTAGGCAAGTATAATTTTCTAGTTTGAATCATTGCTAGCTAACAAAGTTGGGATTAAAAAAATGTAAATCTAAGATAATAGAATACACGTCTCTAGTTTGAAGGTTTGCTAGCAAACAAAGTTGGTATTATAAAATAAAGAAAAAAGAGAGAAGATTCAAATGGATCGCTTTTTTCCTATACTTTTCTGATATTCTTAAGTATATAGGGATCTAAAAACGAAAAAAAAATTTGTAAAACCCCAATAGAGAGATCTCCTCAAATGTGTTTTGCCCTTCAAGAATTTTAGAATGAACAAAGATAGAAACTAAGGACTCTACCTGCATTATTTCCTGATTTCCTACTTTATGGTCCAACAATATACTCCAAGCCTCCAACCCTAAACTTGGAAAAGAGAATATGGTTCAAATGATCCCTTTAGTTTTTAGGGAGGGTATAGGAGCCACTTCACTTATTATTATTTCAGTTTTAGGTTTTAAGTAGGTCCCAGGATTGTATGGGTATTATTATTTGACTTGTTATAATAAAAATAAATAAATAAATTGGCCCTTTATTTTCTTATTTGAGTGGGGGCATTGTAATCAAATTTAAAAATTTTCATTACCATATAAAAATTTTTCATATCTAAATAGGGGTTATTACCCACACTAACTAAGATATACATGGATCAACATATACCATTAGTTGCTATTAGTATGTTATTTTAAAGTTCCTTTGAATCTAATTAGTGCCCTGCCTGCTATAAGTGCTCGACACGCCATGGAGATTGAAGAATTGATGAGTGCTTGGAGTTGAAGGATATATTCGAGAGGCATAGCTTATCATCATGTGTTTTACAAGGCCAATCAAGCTATGGTTGGCTCATAGGAATGGCAATGGGGTTGGTTATGGGTCGGGGCACCCCCTTCCTGTCCCTGGTATAGGGACAAGGATTCAACCCCATCTCCGACCCTGTAGGGTACGGGGAATCCCCGACATTTTCCCACCCTGTGCATAAAGTTTGCACTATTAGAATGTAGAAAGAAGCACCAGTCCACCGCCAGTGTTCTTCTTACTGATTGAATGAGAGTTTTACAGCTATTGGTATAATTTAGACATGCAACTTTTACCAAGTGCGAATTGAGAGGGGGACGGGGGGAGGGAGAAACATAGAACAAATCAATGAAGCTATCCTCTCACATTGCTATGGAGGTTGGACCAAGAGTGGGAAATGGAGCCACCAGTCCACCACCGGTATTCTTCTCACTGGTTGAATGGAACTGCGATACAACTTTTGGAAAGGGTTGTCTTGGGGGGAGGGGGGAGTCGAACTGCAAGTTGGGTGGGCATTTAGTAATTCAAAGGATGACAACTAGTAGGGATGCAAGTTGGGTGGGCATTCGGGTTGGCCTAAACTAAAATTCGATGCATTCGGGTTAGGTTCAAGCCCCAAGTTAGGTTAAGATTGGTCAATCATTTCATACTAAAAATTGATATACATATATGTATATATGTATGCATGTAAGTATACATGTATGGTTTATTAAAAAAATATGCATATATACATGTATGCATACAAATATACATATATATACATAATCGAATCAGACTCGAGTGCGTTAGGTTTGGACTTTTGACCCAAACCCAACCCCAAGAACCAATTGAATCGGTCAGGGTTTGGATTGGACCTGTCCAAGTTTCACCCCTAACAACTAGTGATGGCACCATCATACTCATACTACAATTTTATTTTATCGAGCTCAATTTCAAACCATCTACCTACTAATATAAGTTTCCATTTTTTGAGATAGAAAAAACACCCTTAACATGAACTTTAGGGCAAATTCAGCAATAAGCCACAGCTGTTATTAGTTCACATTTCCTGCAACTTTTGACAAATGGGTGGACCAGATGTGATCATATGTCGGTTTGACCCAAATAATTGTCTTCTTTTTTTTCAGAGAATCTTGGGAAGATGAAAAAATAACACATTTTTGCCTCGTGCTTCCCCAATTCAATTCCGACTTGACTGTTTGGGGTGGACATGATCCTCGGTAACGACCAATGAGTAACGACGTTGTGTGTCCCTCACGTCACGGCCCGTTTGGTTTCCGCTAAAGTGCCTGAAATTAATGACTTCGGATCTCCGAAATACGACATGTTTGTGTATGGGCGGCCATACACCCCAATCACAAATAAACATTTCATCAATTTGTAATATTACCCTGTTCTCAGTAATTTACTTATTGTGATTGGGATATATAGCTTAGGGGATCTTAGGCCATGTTCACTTTTCGGTAAGTTATATAGATTTTTCTTGAGAAATGCTTATCGAGGTAAATGTATTTATCTATATTTTATTTTTCATATAAATAAGATAATGGTCATTTTAGTCATAAAAATTTATTATTAAAAGGGGCATTTTTGTTCCATTTAAGTGTTGCCAACTTTTTTCTTAGATAAAAAATTTATTTATCTACTTAGGAGATGGGTATTACTTACCCGGATAAGTGGTACCCAGGAAAATAAATTTTCCCTAGTCCCCACATAAATCTGAAAAAAAAAATGAGATTCTTAGTCAATGGGATATTGACCAACTTTCTCCTTCTCAACATCATCAAATAAAAATATATAAAAAAAGGTCGAGAATGGTCATTATCCTGTTCAGAATGGGAATTGGATTTCAATTCCACCCAACCAAACAGTTAGAATCCAGTTTTGGATCCTATTCCTGCGAACTAAACGTATGCTTAGTTTTTCTATTCATCTATCTCATATATTTTATTTGGTTCATTTGAAGGAAAAAATAGAAAAAGAAAGGAAATGATAGAAAAACCTTGTATAGGTTTCCTTATCTTTCCCCAACTTTATGCAACATGGTAAGCCTTATAAATTACAAGTTTACAAACCACTATATAATATCTTATGCTTGAGTGTCATTCTCCCTGTCGACACAAATTTTGTGCTAAATTTGGAGCACGAAAAAAATGTGAACAAATTCAAAGAATTTTTTTTTTCAAATATTTAAGTGGGATACAAATTCTTTTTTTTCCTAGCAAAGGAAACCCTCTAATTCTCTTGTCACGAACACAACCCAAATTTGTACTTGTAGCTTGTTACAGATACAATCCAAAAAGCTTGACAACTTGTAATTGTAGAAAAAACTTGCAACGATCAATTGTATACGCCCAAGATAGGAGAATTTTCTTTTTTTTTTTTTGGTTGTAGTGATTTGATGGAGCTTTTGGTTGCAACAACTCAAAGGACGAATCCTTTTGCCGACGTTGTACGGAGCTGTAACGGTTTCAAAGCTTCGATAGTTGAGGAGCCGAAATTTTGAATTTTCTTCCCTTGATCTTGATGCAGCCCGTTTCTTCTTCTTTTCTTCTTCTTCTTCTTCTTCTTGTAAGAAATGTTTCTAATGAGAAGTTGAAGGAGAAGTCAAATGGGAGCTCCAAAAGGGGACAGCCCAAGGAGAGCCTT